ATTAAAAGGAAGTATAAATCAAAAATAAAAAGAATATTATTTTGTTTATTAAAGAAAATAAAATGTCTCTTTTGAGGAAGGTCTTTTTAAACCAGGGTCAAAGACAAGGGGAAATGTTTATTCCCCCTCGGGGTGACCCTTACAGTCCCCCCTTTTGGAGGTCATCACCTGTCCACGGTGATGAGATGCAACAAAATTGGGAAATCCAAAATGTCTTTGATCTTGAGTTAATCCAACTGATGAATGGTCCGAATGGCATTCCAAACAGAGAACATGGCATAGAAAAAGTTCTCTTCTTGGAGGAGAAGAAAATCTTGTGTTCAAAGTTCCACTGGACGACAAAGTAGTAATCCAACAGAAGAAAAATTCTTTGTATGATTCCTGTAATGTCTGTTGGTAACTCCTTAGGGTAAAAACTTTAAATCCATTGAAAGACAGAGTCTGTAAACCACTGGAAGCAAAAGTTTATAATCCAGTAAGGAAAAATTATAATCCACAAAGGTAATTTCATTGCAGTTGGGGCGGTTGAGCTGGAGTCAACCACAGAAGATTTCTGGAACCCCGCTTTTCGAGAGTCGATCTCTGGAAGACTGCAGATGAGGTTGACATCTCTGGCCCAAGGTGAAGCAATCCAAAAATACATGTGATGTTTTGACAAAAAGAGCATTTATGGTTTATGCTACAAATCATATTTCTTCCTCTACTTTCCACAAATTGATGCTGTTTTGTTCTCAAATGTAAAAAAAAAAAAAGAAGAAGAAAAAGCCAGTCAACTCAGATCAAAATATTTTCGATGCACTGTGAAATTTAAAATAAAGTTAATTGTTCAGTGCAGTTGAACAGTTTTTCTTAAACTATATTTGAATAAGCAGGAAAATCTTCAACAAAAATGTTTCAATTCTACTAAAACATTTTTCTACACCTGACTGCAGCACACTTTTCAGTTTATTCACGGCTGTTGGCACATCTTTTTCTTGTCTCCATTTGTCTTGTGAGCTGAATGCAACGTGGCTAACGTTCGTTTCAAATTATCGCACTTGCGTTCGGGCGGGGACGAGTTATGACCGAGCGAAGGGAGCGTCCGCCCCTGCAGCGGGGCGCCCCGCACAACAAATCAAACGCAACCATTTTGTTGAGCGTGCCTCTCGCTGAGGTACGTGATCATCCGGGTACTCCACACTAACTCTAATCCAGGACTCGGATTAGTTGAGATAAAAAGCTACTTTCTCTCGTCTTTTGAGGTTGTTTCAACTCGGCGGTGGATTTCTACTCAAGTCGCAGCAAACATGTAATCAAAAACCTCGAGTTTGAAGGATTTAAAGCATCAACAAAGGCCGCGTAAGCAGAGATAATAAAAGCACATTACGGAAACGTGACAGAAAAATGTTACACAATGGCTGATTGTGACCAATCAGAGCACAGAGTTCCTTCCTCATCCAGGAGGGTGGAGATGTTGACAGTGAGCTCATCTCTTGCGTGGTTGGATTGACAACATAGTAAAATATGCAGTATTTGCAGTTTAATTGAGTTCAGTTTAGGTTCATTTGAGTACAGTCGTAAACTAATTGAGGAGGCGGGATAGAGGGCGTGTTTACTATTGTTTCAGGATGTAAACAACAATAACAGACGTCATTGCCAAGTTTTTGTTCAACGTGCGGTTCACATTTGATAAATGTTTTCACTTCGTTGCTGACATTCACCTTAACGAGAAGGTGAAGTTCGGACAAACCCTGAACGCTGCTCGAAGTAAAGCTCAGAGCAGTTTGCGTGACTTTTTGTTTTTGACAGAACAACAGAGGTTTTTGTTGTGGTGGTGTTTAGGGCCCTCTTGTTTTATATACATTGTGCAGAAGAGCATCATGGTGGTCAACACCATCCATTGGTTCAGGAAGGGACTACGGCTGCATGACAACCCGGCTCTGAGGGACTCTATCCGGGGAGCAGACACTCTGCGCTGCATCTACATCCTGGACCCCTGGTTCGCAGGTTCCTCCAATGTGGGCATCAACAGATGGAGGTAAGAGTTTGGATGCAAACAAAACCTTAAACAGAGATTCAGATTTCATATTTTGTGTGTGTATATATATATATATATACTGTATATATATTTACACACACACAAAATATGAAATCTGAATTTCTGAAGTTTATCATCTGAAGTTTCTTCATCTCTCACTTTTGTTGCAGAAGTTTAAGCACATTAACGGCAGTGTGTTGAATTATTTTGAATTTTTCAAAAGGACAGCAAACTCACACTGTTATACAAGCTTTACCCTGATTACAAAGTGTCATATCTTTAGTATTGTCCCATGAAAAGATTTGATACATTATTTACAAAATTGTGAAGAGTGTACTCACTTTTGTGATGTACTGTATGTATACTTTACATGTTTTTTATTTAAGTTGATATTATTGAGAAAAGAGCTGTCACTATTTCATGTCATTTATTTATTTAAAAAGGACAATGCACATTTATCAGTATTCTGTGAATATAAATGTGCCGGAATTAGCACAACAGCTAAATTTCATCCTTAGTCTTGAGCAGATAAAAAGGTAACAGTTCATAAAACAACAAAACAGACAAAATTCAAGACTGCCCAACAAACACACAAACTCCTCAGTCTACAAGGTCTACAGTTAAATTATATTACAGGTGATTGCATGACTGATTTTACTTCAGCCAAACTTTTAAGTTTCTTTTTAAAAATGGAATAACTGTCGCTGATATTTGCAGGTAGTTCATTCCATAAGAGTGTCCCTCTGACCATTCAGCCAAACTCCATTCCCTGTTTTACTACAACACAGTCCCCTCTAGTTTGAGACCTAGTATTCATTCTGGATGTATATTTGTGAATAAAATCATTTATTTAACTGATTAAAATTTGTCCTCCCTTTAATTTACATACTGTATATTGCTTTTAACGCCTAAGACCCTGCATCCTAATGTCTAGGACTGGTTTAAACCTAGTCTTTTTCAAATGGGACTAGATTTCAAGTTTTATTTAAAATAAAAAAAGAAAAAAATTATATATATGTGTATGTGTATACACACACACAGAGTATAATAT